GGAAGACCAGCAACACTTATATAAAGCCCTTACCAATGACTCTAGAAGTGCCGCCATCTCCAAAGGTAACAATTCCTCCTTCATATTTTTCAAGGGAGGTAAAGTAGGATTTGTTACCGGACATGTGACGATAGCACCCACTATCAAGATACCACATGTGTGAGTCACGTGCTTTTAAAGCAGTGTGAACAACTAAACAAATCAAATCATCTTTTCTCACCCAAATCTTTTTGGTCTTGGTAAATGTCTTGGCGTTGTGAACACCCTCATGAATCTTAGTATTCCGCCTAGACATGTAAGGTTGTCTCCTAACCCAAAAAGTATTCGAATTTCTATTCTTTTGAGACACCTTACCAAACAATTCAAATCAATAAGGACGAATGTGGCTATACCTACCACAGTGATGACAAATAAAAACAGGTTTTACCTCCCTTTTGTTGATCTTACCCCCTTTAGGTAGATGAAGAGAGGGATCACCCTGGTCTACCTTCAACTTTCCCTTTGCTTGAGTCTTCAAGTCCTGTGAAGTAGAGACCTGTCCCTTGTGAGCTGTCGCACCATAGCCTAGCCCACTTTTGTCACAACCCATTTGTTGAGACCCGAGGATGTCTTCTAAAGATTTAGAACCTTTGTTCCACATGGCTATTGTGGCTCTAGCAATACGGAGTTCTTCATCTTTCTGACAGACTATCTCTTCCAATGTAGCTTGTGACATCTCAAGGCTTTCAAGCTTCTCTTCATATGTGGAATACACTTTCAGAAGTTCATTCCTTTCAGTTTCACAGGATAGAAGTTTTCCACATAGGTCTTGTCTGTCACTTGAGATCTTGATGATATTCTGCTTTGCTGCTACAAGTTCTCCTTTCAGCTTGACATTCTCACTTTCACATGCTTTGAGCTTAAGAGTGAGTTTGTCATTGATTTTAGACAGATTCAGAGATTCATCATAAAGCTTTTCGTAAGCTTGTTGTAGATCATCACCAGTAATCTCATCATTGTCTTCTGATGTTTCATCATCCTCTTTTTGCTCCTCATTCTCCTTGACCTCATCCAGTCAGGCAGTTAAGGCAGAAAAGGTGATGGATGGTGGTGAAGATGACTCTCCTCTTTCATGAAATTGGCTCAGAATGTCCCATGCATCTTTAGCCTTTGTGCAGTGAGCAATCCGTTGCTGTTCTTCATCAGAAATAGCTCCACGAACAGTAGTCAGAACTCTCTGATTGCTTGGATTGTCAACACTTTCAACATCCTCTTCAATGGCTTGCCAGCCTTCTGGATCGAAAGCTCTCAGAAACGCCCTCATTCTAATCTTCCAATACAAGTAGTTACTCCCATCAAAGGTGAGAGCATGATGCAGGTTCTAACCACGAGCTAATTCCGCTGGCTTTGGAAGAGGTTGAGTGAAAGTGGACCAAAATGCCATGAAAGCACTATCCCCGTCTTCACCGGATTCAGGTTCTTCGGGTTCTTGCTCTGACCCGCTTTCATCATCCCAAGTCACTGTGTAGACTTTCTTTCGATTCTTTTTCGAAGGACATTC